TTTTATCCGGTGCTCTGTCTAAACTTCCTAAATGAAAATGCATGGGCGATGGGGATGGACAATGGACATACAAGAAACAGTTGGTCCACCAATGGTGGCGCCATGTGATGCAGTGACCAATGACCAGTGACCAGGGTCTTGTTCATATCGGAAAAACCTTTAGTTAGTGTCCCTTTGCCAAAATGCCACTTACACATTTGCCAACGATGGTCAGGTGTGTGAGGGTGGCTGCATGAACGCATCTGTTGGGTCGCCCTTTCCAGTAAGTGTCACTTAACAGCAAGGGGTCTATCTGAACTTGGCCCTGCACGACTGACGGCGGTTGGAGAGGCAGTTGAGTGGTTGTCAGTGGGCGGTGGCGGCGGCCGGCGCGGCGTCGGACCGCAGCCAGCCACAGAGAGGCGGCGGAGCGCGCCTAAGGCCGCCACCTTGACCCGGTTCAGTCGCTACCGCGGCGGCGGCTGCAGCTCGGCCGCGCTGACAGGCGGCACACGCGGAGCACAGGTAGCCGCGCCGCGCCGCCTCGCCTGTTAGTCACCACTTTATCAGCCGCCGCCGCCGCCTGGCACCGCCGCCCGCACGCCCGTGGCGCCGAGCCAGACGGCACCTGCTTACGACGCCGGAGTCGCACGTCGTCGTAGACGGCACCGCCGCGGACTGCTGACTGCTGAGAACGCGATGTTTTCTGGCTGTGAACTCAGATATGGTGGTAGGCTGGAGCACTGACGTCTTAGATGGCCCGAAACCTTTGATGTGTGGCGAACAATGAATATGAAATGCAACAATGAAAAAGAAAACTGGATGGAGTCGGGAGTGAAAGTGAATGGCTATGATTCACGCGAAGGCAGCGGATGTGTTTAGACATACTTTCTTTGAAAAGCGGAACTTCACTTCCTTGATCCTAAAAAGCTGCCAACGGCATGACCTTCAGTGGCTCCAAGGCTGGGATCAGCTCCAACAACACATGTTCGTCTCCCGGTATGCGCCTGATTACATACACGTCTGTACCACGGTATGCACCTGAGCGCAGACTGGTGAACCGATTCGCGCATCACTCAGGACCAGGAGTGTCGGGGCCACGGCGCCGTCTGGCCGAGCGCGGAATGAATCACACCACACCTGTGTACCGGGCTCTGGGTCTGGCGTCGGCCCGAGCCACCGTCAACAGGAAGTGGCGGGTTTCCGGCCGCTGATTCCGGGAGGAGTTTCCTGGTGCGCATTCCGGGCCGGCGTCAGGTATGCCGCCATGGGCGCTCCTGCAGGGGCGGCGAGCGGCGCCAGGAACTGTCCGGGAAAATGCAGGCTGTGGCGATTAATTCTTAGGAGACAAGTCCTATGAAGGTGGGAGAGGCTGAGCTGATGCGAGTGCTAACCATCGTCTCCCTGTACACACTTGACATATACCTACTTGTAGGTGCATTGATTTAACCCTCGCATGTGTAGGGGGGGGGGGGGGTCGGATGGACCCCCCCCCCATAGTTTTTCGCGAATAACTCGCGTAAAAAGCGGCCGATCGCGACGAAACTTTCAGTACCCTCGCATTGATCAATTTTGCACCTACCCAGAAAATTTCATGACCCTGACCCAAATGACCTTTGACCTATGACCTCTTTTCCGAGACCATGTTTGGCCGGAATCGCGATTTCGCGTATGTCGGCTCGTACTAGCCGCGTGTTTGCAAGCTTTTCGTGGCTTCAAACGTTCAAACATGTGATTTGATGTTACTCCCGTGTGTGTCAAGGTCACCTGAAGGTCAGGTCAGGTCATTGACCTTTGGTGACCTCGGGTGACCTCGGGTCACTTTTTCGAGTTTTACATGTTTCTAGGCTAGTTTTTGGAGCTGAATTCGAATTTCGCAACCATTTGAACATTCACGAAGTAGTTTTGGTGACTTCGTAACATGTTACGAAGCTGTCAGAGGCGGTTGACACGTACTACGAATACCCGTCACGACGCCTATTGGTTGACCTGACCTAACCTGACCCGACCTGGTCTAAATGCTTCAAGACATCATCTGTGATCAAAACTAACACGATATTCGTGATCAGCACCCCGAAAAACCCTTAAGCAGCCACACTTAACGACTTTCTAACAGGTCCCGATTTTCCCGACTTTGGGTCATTGACCTGACCTGGAAGGTTAACCAATGACCTAGGACCTTAAAATTGGGTATCATCGGCTTCCTCTCGTCACGGGCAACACGCTCGTTTTTTCCGCGAAGCTCTAGCTCGATCAGGGGCCAAACGACAAGGGGGGGTCCAACCGACCCCCCCCCCTACACATTAGAAGCTCTGGCAAACGCCGCACACATGCGAGGGTTAACATATCAATATAATTTTTGGGGAAGCACTTTTCATTTAGGAATGAAAAATGACACATGATTGCTAAATGCTACGTCTTTTTTCGCACTGCACAGAGTAAAGTATAACAAATTATTGGAAAGGACACGTTGTCCGATTACCTTTGCCCATCATCCTTGCTCTCTACGGCCGCTAGTGCAATGACACCTGTTTGAAAATTTATGCTGAAAGCTGCGAAATATTTTGTCTGTTATATCTCAAGACGTTTGTGGTTTTCGAGTCCGTGTCAATAGCTCAATGCATTGAACAGCTATTGCGTATTGAGCAGTTCCTCAGTCAGTGAAAAAAAATGTCTCAAACGGGCGTGATATCTCGCGCCTGAGCATGAGAAGCCCTGCTTTCGATGATAAGAACCGGAGAAGTGTCAGTGGGGATTGGTCTCACTTACGGACATTAAAGACTTTTATGTTTCATTTACGAGAGTTTCTGCGAGACGCATACATTACACAATGGAAGGCACCGACACCTAATATCCGGTAGTAGTATAATGCGGAATCGGAATCCGGGTCTACGTCAATGCCTTCAAGTATTGACAAGGATTTCTAGTTTCTGCGCACCAGAGGCGGGTTCGTATATAAACATGTTTGGAACATTTACATTTTCAAAATAAATTGGATCAGCTGACAGTTCACAGATGAGTGCCACTCTGTGCCAGGGGAGGGGTGTCCCCCCCCGCCCCGGGGGTCCGCGGCGGTCGGCACTGCGGGCTGCGCGGGGCGGCGGGGGCACCTGAGAGCGGCAGCCACCGCGCCGGCCCGGCCCGGCCCACCGCCTACCGGCTGACCCAGCTGGGTCGGCGCCAACTCAAACAGAATAACAGGGGCAAAGTCAAGGCGCCGCCGCCGCGACCGGGTGGGCCGGCACCTGTTTGAGTGACAGCGACAGCGGGTGACCACGCTATCACCACTCGCCACCACCCGAGACCACTTCTCCTCCCCACCCCCCCCCCCCCCTACACATGAGACAGTTCCGCCACGGCCTCCTCCACAGTCCACACCCGACAGCTGAGCCACTGTCAACACCCCCTTCCCCAACACCCCACCTCGTGTGGTAGGCATAGTTCCCTGGACGTCATCATTGAATGAATATCATTGAAGCCGTCTCAGTTACATGCATTGTGAGCTGATAAATGTTGAATAATTGAAAATGTTTATGTGTGCTCATTTCAATGGTCATATCAACGTTGCACAAACGCAGACTTGGGCACTCCCAACAGTCCCAACTCCGAAAGACGTTCCTTAGAATTAACTGCTAAAAAAGTCGCATGGAAAAAGGCTGCCAGCATTCGCCCAATTAGCAAGAACGTTACAGCGATTCAGGCCCACCCCCACTAGCCCTATAAGCGACTTCTAACTTGTTCGGTCTCGGCTGACAAGTCGCTCCTAACAAAAACTGAAGCATGCATCACCGGACTTATCCACGGACAAATGTGCCGTCATGGACCGACGAAGGCCATCGTCCGACGCTTTACAAACGACCTGTGTGTCTGGAGCGGTGCCAGTGGCGGTAAAAATGCGTCAGCGACCTTGTCGGGACCATTAGACAAGAGATAGTGCACGCGCAGTGGTGGCGCTAACCCCGACAGAGCTTAGCCAAGGCACTCTATTATACATACGCTTAGTCCTAACGTTTGATTAGGTACTGGGCTTAAATATTAGTTTAATCAAGAGTTTTTGGCGATGGGCTTTGACTCGGCGTGTACCCGTGCGACATCGCATTTTTTGCCTTGTATCAAATTTCTAGTGATGTAAGATGGTCATAGTACTCCTGTGTGCATGGGTTGGGTTAGCATGGTGTTGGTGACTGACTCTGTTAGTGCTCTTTCTTCATGTCTAGCTTGGGCTGGTGCCTGTTTGATGTCATTGCTGACGGCGCGAACTGGCCGCTCGGAAGTGTTTGGCAGCCGCCCCACCCATGTCGTGCAGTGTGACACCAGCACGCTGTTCAACAGTGACTGTTCTGCCTGTCCGGCCTTGTCGAGTGGCTGCTCCAAGCGCTGAATGGGAACGGTGTCTGTGACTCTGTTCGGTCGGTTTCGACCCGCAGTCAGTCGGTGCCCGGTGGGCTGAAAGACAACCTTCTCCAGCAGGCTCGCAGTCTGTATCATTCGTAGGGCTGTTAACGTGCAGTCTCCACACAGAGTGCCGTTCTATAATGGATGTCCGGATGGCGAAGTCCGGGTGAAAGGGCTACCAAAGAAAGCCTGGTCGCCCGGCGTTATAGGAGTCGGCGCCGTTGGCAGGAGTGCTTGGTCGATATCTGTCAAGATGCGTAAATGTCACGAGGCGAAGGGTTCCGCGACTTTTGTCCCCTTGGCTAAACAGTGACTCGCTTGTCTTATCCCTTTGACTAATTGGCAGTGGCACAGATTTACTGTGCTGTCGAATTTTGTGAAGTGACACCTGCTCAGACACCGTATATACGAGCCTGTTTGTGTTTTGACGCTGTCCATGATTTAGAGATACCCCCTCTCGCAAATTGGCGACATACCGAGATACGGCGCTCATTACTCACGCCGATAAGCAGGCTTAGCATAACTACGGCTCCCTTCGCTGTCAACAGGGTCGTCAGCTTCCACAAGTGTTGTCCCAGAATGTGTGCCGCTATTCATGCGGTCTCACTGCTGCGCTCTATTTTCAGGCCTGGTCTGTGCCGGAGCGCCAGCGCGGTGAGCCGCCCCGCGCGCCCCGCACCATGTCCTCCAACCTGCGAGTGATCCGACGGAAAAAGTCCTCCCTGTCAGAGGTGAAAATCGTCCTCTTTGGAGCGCCAGGAGTTGGAAAGAGTGGTAAGTGGAAGGAAGAACTGCTGCAGCAAGCAAAAATACATTTATTAACCACCTGTGTTTCAATCTAACCGTTATGTATCAGAATACGAGATGTTTAACATCAGTCTCTCCTTGCATTAATTTTACATCGAAGCGCACTTGGAATGACGATCAATTCGGATAATCCCCCTGAAGTTTCAGAGAGGATGTCACCAGAACTACTGTGGTAGTGTATGGAAATGATGCTCTGAAACAAGTTGCTACATTAGATATATGGCGATTCACGGATCGGTAATGAAAGTTAATGCCATTCAGATTTCAGATGTTTCTCTCTTTCTATTTGACGTCTATTTTGAATGAGAAGATGTCTATCCAGTCTATATTCAGTGCTAAGCTTTGTATTAATCTTTCGGAAACCGTAATGGCTTTGCTTTTATGAACATACAGAAAGTATTTAGTACATAATTCATTCCAACTTATTAGACAATCAGACTATTAAGTATTTATTTATTATTAACATGAATTATAAATAACCAATAAATTATTATAATTAAAGAATGTTAGTTTGCAGGTGTAATTTCTTTGAATAAATTTTCTATTTCTGTCCACCCATACATCAGGGGCGGCTCACACGTCCCAGGCAGCTGTGGAAATGCGAACACGTAAATGTAGGCGCGCGTCTGCTTGTTTGTGCGTCTGGCGCGACGCCGTAGGTGGCGGGCTCCCGTGCAGGTCAGAGTCGCGCCCTTGGCTGCCATTCGGCCGATCCAGTGCGCGCAGAAAGAGGGTCACGGTGGGTGGTGTGGTGGGGCTGAGAGACCCCACCTGTCGGGCGGCGGTGCTGGGAGGCAGCCAATGGGCTAGTGAAAGGAGAGGGCAGTGCAGGAAGAGGGGCAGCCGGGCAGTCATACAGGAAAGCGGGAGCGCTACGAATTGCCCTGTAGTGGGGATCGCTATGTACACTGGACTGATTGGAAACAAGTACGAGAGATGGATGTCATTGGATGGTAGCATCGGTTTGATAATGCAGTCCTCGAAATTCCCTTTGAAAGTAAGCCGCTAGCAGTCTTCAAAGCTTTGTAAGAACTCACTGTTCGTTCCTGCTCTTACGTTTAGCTAATGCTAGCAGAATGCGTTCCATGTAATTTTGCACTTCCTTCGCACTTTATTACGCCCGAAGACGAGTAAAAATTATTACATCATTTCCATAGAATTGCCTAGCTCAAAGCTCACTATTATCCTTCAGATTTTCATTTTATTTTATGGCAAGTTTCCAGACTGCGTTATCGTATGACCGTAATTCACAGCGGCCGGTCATATGCTCACCCCAATGTTCACTTATCTTGGACAAGCTCCAAATAATCCCAACATGACCACCGTCACCGGGCTCACCTTTCAGGAAGTCGTTTGTTCTTGTAACCCCTAACACCGCTGGCGCGTTGAACACCGTCCACCAGTCCTCCTCTCAGAAATCCTGCAGGCCCATTAGAGCTACACGGTGTAGTAGCTCGAACACATGACGTCTTCTGTCAATGACTGGCACCGAAACCAGCAAAAGTGCTAATCCATATCACGGTATGATTTCGTCCCCGCTGGACGTTGGTTGGGACTGGGCCAGACAAGGCCATCCGTTGGGTAGGAGAGGGGCGAAGTGCTGCCGACGACAGCCCCTGTTCTCCGTCTCCCCCAAGAACTGCAGCCCACGCGTCACATGGCCTGTGGGTGGGGGAAGGGGAGGTGTTACCACCGGGACCTCTGTTCCCCTCAATGAGCTTCCCGCTTCCGGCCTAACTCCTGTGCCTCCGCGGGTGCGGGAGGGGTGAAGTGCTACCACCAGCATCCCTGTTGCCCCTAAGTAAACTCTCGGCCCCGGCCCCAGCGGCCAGCGTATGGTCCATGGGTGGGGGAGGATGGAGATGCAGCCACCCCTGTTCCCCCTCACTGAACTCTCGACCCACGCCTGTGTGGCCCCTGGGAGGAAGAGGGGAGAGATGCTGCTCTGTTCCCCCTCACCGAACTCTCGGCCCACGCCCCTGACCGCGCCCCTGCTCCGGTGCCCCGGTCGCTCCGCTCGCTGACCCACCGGTGACCGATGCGCTCCATCCCGGCACGGTCCGCGGGTGCCGGCGCGGTGGCTGAATGCACAATCCTCCCACACGGCACCACTCCGTCAGATAGGTGGACACGGAGCGCGGTCACCTGATGGATCACCCGCGCCGCCAGCTGGTGCCGGCGAATACACCGGCCGAGATGAGATCCATCTCGACACCACACTCCTATCTGACCCCACTGCCAGGTTTTTTATCCCTGTCCTCCTGTCTTTTTGCATCTTTTTATCTTTTGTGCTACGTATTTCAATTTATCATTTTTCCTTTCCCATGATGATGGGATTTAGGTATGTTTTAATTTTGTAGTGGCCCTACAATGTCCAAAAACTTTTGAATGTAGGCATTTGTTTTCCTTAGATCCGAGGTTTATTCCTATGTAGAGCCTAGGAGAGAAATATAGTGTGTCATTGCATGCTACATGTCCAGCAAAGCGGTGCTAAGGATACATGATACATGCTAAGTGTTTACGTCGCGTACAAGTATGTATTTTCTCGTCGATGTGGTGCCGTTTTTAATTTGGCTGTGGTCGAAACTCACGAAGACTTGAAATTATCGCTATCTCGGATATTTATGCACTCCTGCATTTGCATGTGACGTTTCGCGGACACTATGAGTTAAATGTATGGAGCGATGTTTGTTTATATAAAGCAATCCAGACGAGTGTTGACGTCAGCGCTAGACCATCTTGTTTTCACAAACCAGTGTTCAATCACAAATAGTCTAATCTTTTGAGCTATAGGAAAGTCGCTCGCGGAAATATTGAAATGTGTGCGCCTTAGTTTAGATTAATTACGTCGTGCATTTGCAATGCAAGGACTCATTATTGTGACAATTAATCCTGCTGATCAGAAAAAAGGCAATTTAGAAAGAAATCAATTTGAATCTAAGTATGTTTCCATCTTAAACAAACCCAGGGGCGGTTCTCCCATATAGGCAAGGTAGGCAGTGCCTACGTCATTTGTCGTCTCCCCTGTGTCTACACCTTCACTAGACTGTGGCTTTTGATTGTTTGATTGCTTTTGTTAAAGATCTTTTTCTTTTCGTTTTTCAAAATGGGTTGAAACGAAAGAGAATTGCCTAAACTTTTCAAAAAATGTCAAACAAAGATCGTGTTATAACAACAACTTGACAAAATCCTTTGCCTAATTGTGCCTACCTCGTCCTACTAGATTATCGACTATTGCCATGTTGAGGCTATTGAGCCTTTTGGTAGAAAAAGTTTAGATGGTCGGCACATCGACTAGGTGCTACCTTCTAACTTTCAAACTTAACTTTTTATTAAGTTCATTTATCATAAAATAAAACACATTTAACGTTATCAATTTTTATCATTATTTTAGGGTACCTAGCGTTGTTATGTCTGTTGTGTTATTCTATTGTTTGTTAAAAATTATATTGGACGAACTAGACTCCTACTGGTGGACTAGCTTGCCTCTGGCTGCAGACGTGTAAGCTCTAGTTAAGTTAATGGTTTTTGTAGATGACGCTGCTGTCGCTGCTTGACGCATCCCGACTGAGCAATAAGGCTGTCTTTTCCCCCCCTAGTTTACTTATTCCGTATTCAGCTGTTCTGCCTTACCTACCAAGTGCCTACCTACTTTCAATAGGTCAGCGCCGCCCCTGAACAAACCACTCATTCGTCACACACACTAAAAAAGGTGTGCTATTTCGGGAAATGCCAGAGCCACAAAAACACCCAATTCATATCCGTTACTCGGCGGGGACGAGCGCTGGGTCTACAAATGGGCGACGTCGGACGCCCAGTCAATCGTTCGGCTCGTTTTGGGGCTAAAACGGGGAGGTGCGGGCATCCGACTGTGACGGGTGGGCCCTGCTCTGCCAACAATGTGTCAGCGGCGCGGCCGCCGAGAGGACAGGGTGCTGAGAGGGACCCTCGGCCGGCGCCGCCGCGCTAAGGGTCAGATAATCTGCCGTGTCACACAGAGGGAGGAACGACCTTGGCGGTGGCCTGAGGCGACCAGCTGACGCGGAGGGGGTCAGCGAGGTAGAGTCGCGGGCGAACGGGGGTCAGCGAGGTAGAGTCACGGGCGAACGGAATGAACAGGGATTTGGAGGTGGAGATGTGTGGGCAGCGTAGTCCGGCACAAATTTATCTTATTTACAAATTATGTGTAGATATAATGTATTCCGTGTTAGAAAAGATGGAGGCATCCTCCATTTTTTTTTTAATCATGAGGCATTCATGTTTCAGTATTTTGAATTTGATGAAATGATGGCCGTCCATTGGCTAATGGCTGTCGCTGATAGCGGCTGATTTTATGGAAGAGTGGCAACAATATATGACGAACAAACCATTCAGCTGATTGTGCCAAACAAATAACATGCAATCTCGCTACCATAAAGCGTTTTGTTTACTGCATATTAGCTCACGCCCTTCGTTGATGTTTTCTGTCATAAATATTTGCCTTTTTGTTTAATGGTTATCCTCCGCCTTGATCTAGGACGCTGGCTATTTAGAAATTCGTATTTCCTGAAGCTGATGAACGAGAGGAGCTCGTATGTGTCAAGCATGTCTCTTCTCTAGCCAGGAATGTAAGCTAAGATAGCTTATTAGCGATGGCAAACGAGGGATTTTTCTCGGCGAGCAGACATGTCAATGTCATGCCTCGCGGCCAATTAGGGAGCCGGAAACGTGCCAAAACCAAAACGAAAAACGATAGCTCAGCGCTGAACAGGATGGAGTGAAAACTATTTATGAATGGTTTTAAATAAAGACTGGAAGCGTTGCCAGTTTTGTGTTAAAATTAGCTTTAACTTTATGCATGACATTTTTATACAAATTAGGCTAATGTTTAGGGTTAGAATGTTAGACAATAGATAGTGAGCATACGTAATGGTCATTTGGAGGGAAAGAAAGCACCTGCTAGCTGAACATATCAATGATATTTACTTAACTTGATGTCAGGATGATTTTTGTTCTACTTCAAGCTTGCTTTTAAAAGACAGCATATGTACAATTGTTTCGAAATTTAAAAATTAGCAGATATCTTCTCAGAATTAAATCTTTAAGCGGCCAGCACAGCACTTTCTCTTCTGAATAATTCCTATGCGCTGGTTGTGACAGCCCTATTCTCTAATTAGTATCATGACACACGGGTGGGCCTGCACACGTATCATGGCTTAACTGGGCGGCCGAGTCCGGCTAATTGGGGCACCGGGGGAGGGGCGGGGGAGGGTCTGTGACGTCACAGGCCGGTTGTGGTCATCACTGGAGGCATCAGGCCGGATTGCGGCCATATAGTCGGCGGTAATTTCGTCCGCGGCCAGCCCGTTGAACACGGGATGAGGTGGATTAGAGGTGGGGGAGGGGTGGGGGAGGGGTGAGGGGAGCGGGTGTCTGCGCTGCACAGTCATGGCGCAGCACTAGGTTCCGCCAGAGTGTGTAATGGATCCATTTTTCAGGATCCAATGCAATCCAGATTCATTGGTCGCCGGTGGGTGGGTGATGGAGGAGTTAATGGCGTGTAAACACGCACCTCGCACACGACACACCAGGTCGAAAGCACTACCTTTTAAGATGAAGATGAACGCCTGGAAGCAGTACAAAATGGCCCATCGCCTGACCTAACGACTCGACTGACTACGTATTTGTATTGCCACCACTTTTGTGCAGATGACTGCGCCAGGTGCCGCTCTTTTGAAGTAGCCTATGTAGGTAAAGGTATAATCAAATCTGATGACAGCATAGCGACAGGCGTCGTGGTCATTTGAAACTACGTATTTTATATCATAAATATGTTACATCACAAAGCTCGTTAGTAACGTATTTATCAGTTTATAACTATCTGATCGGGAAAAGATCCGTAATCTTAGTTTGATCCATATTCCATAGTTACTTCTGGACCAAAGAGACACAAATCTTACCCCAACACTTATGTATGTTAACCAAAGAAGGATGGAAATCAGCCTGAGTAAATGATGGTTTTTGCTTCTCTGGAAACTACCTACAGTCCGTTTGGACGTATGCTGCATGCGTGTGCTATTTCTGTGCCCCAGGTGGATGGTAGTCGCGTGATTCCGAGAATAGGGGTATAAAGCAGCGTGACGTTTCGTGCTAGTCGTGTGAGAAATACAAAGGCTGTTATCGAAACCAGACGACGTCATGAAACAAGATATATAGGCAACAATGAACAGAAAAGAACGGTAGACAGCCACTTGTGTGAAAAGATATGTGTGGTATTTCTCCGTCAGAAATAAATGTTTCGTAGAGGGACATAATAGCAAATGTGAGAACACTCCAAAGGTATAATGCGGCGATGTTTAAGAGCTGCCTTAGCCCTGTCAGGCAAGCGCCAATCGTCACGTTCATCGCTACGGTTCGTTGTACGAAGTCTCGCACCTGATGCTATTGTTTGGTTGTGTTTGTTCCCCGTTTAGTATGCGGCGGCTTCCCGCTCACAATATCGTCTGTTCTGCTTCCAGCGCTGACAGTGCGTTTCCTGACGAAGCGGTATATCGGCGAGTACGATCACCATGGCGACCAGCCGCCGTACAAGTACGAACTGATGGTGGACTCCGAACCGGTGCTGTTCGAACTGCTCGACACGTGCGCTAAGGTCAGTGGCGGTCACCACGGGCCAGTGGCCAGACGACAGGTGCGGGAAGGGCTGGTGCTTATGTTACTCAGGCCCATGTCACTCCACATTTGATGACATCATAAGGGGGCCTCAGGACAATCAATGGCGCGGTGCGCCACAATCGCTCCCAAGCTACTTACCAACAGCTGCCATTTTTGAAAATATTATTTTGAAATAAAGTTTCAAGTAATGAAAATATTGTAATAAAGTTGTAACTTAAATCCATACCATATCTAAAAACTTACTGAAAAATAATTACGGAGCGAGCGAAGCGAGCGTAGTCTTTCCTTAGATTAACGGAAATTTCTGAGTATGAGCGGCCGGCCGGCCGGCCGGCCGTGCGGACGCTTTTGCGAGGCTTATATCTCAGCAACCACTTGACCGATTTACACGCGGTAATTTTTGTAGGGTAGCTTCATTCCTTCTACCAAGTATTGGACTATTCCCGATGCATGTGGGTGACCCCTTATGCACGTGCCACGTGCAAAACGAAGAGGTGTCAGTTTTGTAATTGTTGCAATATCTCGGTAACTACTTGGCCGATTGTGCTGAAAGTTGGCATGTAGGTAGGCACCCACTAGGCACTGCATATCCATGTGCCAGAGATGGGGTGCTGCTGCACGTGCGCACGTGCAGGGGTCGTTTCCAGATCTGGAGAACGGCTGGACCGATGGCGCTCAAATTTGGTACACGGTTAGGGACCAGTTAGTAGGGTGCCGTGCACAAGTCAGTTGGGACCCTTCCTGCACGTGCGCACGTGCAGGGTGCCGCTTCCAGATCTCGAGAACGGCTGGGCCGATTGTGCTCAAATTTGGTACATCGCTAGAGACCGGTTAGTAGGGTGCCGTGCACAAGTCAGTTGGAGGTACCCCTCGAAATTTCGCACGTGCAAGGCCCACCCTCTCGCTCGCTCCGTTAGTCGCCCCAAAAGGCGTTATACTGGTTTATCCATAGTAAAAATATAAGCTCGATGCGTTTTTACGTTGCTTTCCTGCTGCTGCAGAGGGTTTTTAAATCGTCTATATCCTCAAAACCGGCCATTTCTTACTTCTTAGCATATTGCTGCTCTTTTTTGTCGCTGGAAAATTAGTTGGGCTTTCCACTGACATCAACGACTGAGCGGTATGTGCAGAGTACCATCAATAATCTTCAAATGAAGTTAGTCATTTTTACGTTGCAAAGGAATGGAGTACCCCTTGCGAGCATCAGGGGTGACGTCACTCAGGATCTGTCTGGCTGATTGGTCGACGGGGGAGTGACTGCACCTTCTATAGATGGCCTTGATGTTACTATTGTGCTGATGACTTGAAAATTAAGTTTATAAAAGACAACTGCAAAGCTGATGTTCTGAATGTTGAATGCCTTTTATTAGTATTTTTTATCTAATTTAGTTTTAAATCGTGATAAAAGAAAGATTCTGCTCAATTTAGGAACTTTGATGTCAGTTCTGTATTGCTTTTTAATATTGCAATCATGAGCTCCCAGTCTTTATCTTTGGCCTCCAAGCACGATCTGCACCACACTCTGTCACCGTCAGCCCCACGTCCTCAATGCCCACCCTCTGACCTCAACCCCTCCCTCCCCCCACCCTTCAGACGGCCGGTGAGCTGCCCTCGACCAAGACGCTGGACTGGGCCGACGGCTTCCTGCTGGTCTACTCTATCACTGACCGAGAGAGCTTCAGCTATATCAAGCGGCTGCACGCGCACATCTCCCAGTGGCGCCGCGAGGCGGGCCCGGCCGCCACCGCGCCCATGGTGCTCGTCGGAAACAAGGGAGACATGATCCACCTGCGACAGGTCGGATATGAAGAAGGTGAGGTCGGGTTGGAGGGGGAGGGGGAGGGATAAGTGGGCTCAGTATGTGAGGCTGATTTTAGTAATGTGCTGCCACGTGTTTGTCTCTGGTTTTGTGTCTGTCTCCGTATTTGCCTGTTTCTCCTGTTTCTTTTCTTCTTCTTTTTTCTCCCTCTCTCACTTTTTCATGCCTTCTCCCTCTCTCACTCTTTCATGCTATCACCCCGCTCTCTCTCTCTCTCTCTCTCTCTCTCTCTCTCTCTCTCTCTCTCTCTCTCTCTCTCTCTCTCTCTCTCTCTCTCTCTCTCTCTCTCTCTCTCTCTCTCTCTCTTCTCTCTCTCTCTCTTTCTCTCCCTCTTTCTTTCTTTCTTTCTTTCCTTCTTTCTTTCTTTCTTTCTTTCTTTCTTTCTTTCTTTCTTTCTTTCTTTCTTTCTTTCTTTCTTTCTTTCTTTCTTTCTTTCTTTCTTTCTTTCTTTCTTTCTTTCTTTCTTTCTTTCTTTCTTTCTTTCTTTCTTTCTTTCTTTCTTTCTTTCTTTCCATTTCGCTCGCTTTGTCCTGCCCTGCGCTTTAGCTCTTGTCGTTGCTAGAGAGGACCCAGCCCAAATGAAAATATTATTTCACAATATTTACAACAGCTAATAAGATGTTTCGTTTTTTCTCACTTTTATGTGAAACTTAACTGTAGTAATTAGCGTCAGTACCGTTTCATTCCACCCCATATGTGAAGGTCATTTTCTAAAATGTTTGTCCAAGCGATGCACTATCTACGTATTTCCAGAAACGCTACCGGGCTATCATAGCTTCGTTCCCAAACTTGTGTTTATTTTGTATGTGATTAGCTCAAAAGCCAATCAACGGCAATGTCAACGTAATGTGGAAAGCGTATACTAATTTGCTGTGTGTCAGTTTGGCTGGAGTGATTGGTTTTAGTGGTATCGACCCACTAATATGTGATCAGAGCATATACCGAGCACAGAACATAGCTCTTTTTTGACAATATTTTAGTAAAACACATACATTTATGTAACTTCCTTTTAGGTCTATGCTTGATTTACTTGTGCAAATAAAAATTGAATCAACCACGCATTTGACGCATCAACAGGTACTATATTGAAGACATCTTTATGATTTCCCTTTTTGCACTTGTTCCGACAGGTGAGATCCTGGCGCGCGACATGGAATGTCTCAGTTTCCGCGAGGTGTCCGCCTCCGAGCAGGTCACAGAGGTCGCCGAGGCGTTCAACGACCTCTGCCGCGAGGTCAACAACCACCGGCGCAAGAGCAAACAGTCACTGCTGGACCGCGTGCTTGGGGGTCGCGGCGGCCTACGGGTGTACGCCAGGGGCAAGAGTGACAGCGCGCTGCCCAAGGACTAGCGGTCTATGGAGTGGTGCTGGAGGATGTGAACGCCTAAGGGGAGCGGCAGATATGCGAGTTAAAGTCTGAGACACCAGCCCTGACTGAGATGGACGTAATCGTCCATTTTTGGGTTAAGCCAGACGCGGATTAGGAATCGAGTTATGATTTTGTTCGCACTGAACCGCTCATGTCCGTGAGAATGTCCTATAGCGCAGCGAGTGTCGAGCAATAAAGAGAACAGTCAAAATCAGCGATAAGATGAGCTCGCTGAACTGCAAATAAGTGTAGAGCTACCACCGGTTGGCAGAAGCGGGGAGAATCGTTCGGGTAAGAGTCTCCTGATTTGTTCGAGAATGCGCACGTTGCAGGCCTACATATTGTTAGCTCGTCAGGCCCAGATGTTAGTACGTTTTCTGTAAGCATCGGAACACTTGTCTCTGCGGGTTTCAGGACAGTGATCTTTGTGCGTTTGTCGATCTTTTGAACGGCAGGGTTCATCCAGCCACGCTCTGTTCAAAGGGCTAGTTTATGTGCTTTCTTGGAATATACAGGTGCATTCTGTGTATGCGTTGTGACGGTGATATCATAAGGATACGTTGTCTAGCCGAGACGCCATAGATAGACGTGAATGCTTCAAGCGTAATGTGAGTTATTCGAATGGGATGCTTATTCACGTCTTGTTTCGTGCATCCAATAATTTTCGTACCCCCTGAATGTCCTAGTTGTTCCCTCTTTTTCTGGATGGATCAAATGAAGGAAGTGCATGCGTGAGTGATCACCAAACAAAGTCGGATAGCACGGATAATTTGATAGCATGATTGATGCGTGTATCTCTTTTGAAAACAGATCTAAATGCCACCATATTATAGCACATTTTCTAGATATGGACGGAAGCCTGTCTTATGTGCTACCTCACATCTTTTGTCTGTTTTGTGCCAATGTGGTTTACTTGTGAATTCTGTGAGCACACAACTCGTAAGGATGAAAGCAGCGTCTGTACTGCCGATTTGTTCTTCATTTGCATCATATTTTTAGGCAAGGGAGGCCAGACTAGTGGCTTTACATGTGTGCTGTATGTGTGCGCATGCTGTTTAACCCGCGCCCCGCTGGGGGTCCTGGATTTCCACGCCCTGCTGGGGGGGAGGGTGTTTGAACACCCCCCCCCCCCTTGTAACTCGGCTCCTGGGCCACGTAGCGATACGCGGAAGGCGGCGTTCGAAAGAGCGTAAAAAATAATGACGAAATCACTTCGGTCAATTTTTTGGTCAGGTCAAAGGTCAGGTCACCAGAGGTCATTGAAGGCAAAATTTCGCCGATTTCCAGGTCGAATGTCGAAAATTTCCAAGAAGCTAACGCATAACTCGGGAACCAATAGAGCTACAGCGCCGCAGAAAAGTGCATTCGATAGCCCTATTAACGCCCTTTCTGAGTAATTCTCTCAGATTTGACCTAACGTCAACGGTTTTGCCTGCAGGGGGCAAAAACTGCAAAAATAGCCGATTTTTTCGGAAACAGTTTTTCTGCAATAACTTTTGACCCAAGCCTTGTACGAGCTTACGTTTACCGGTATCGTGTTCCTCTCGTCAAGACGCATCGAATGAACTATAACTTGACCTTGAAAGATCAACTTGAAAATTTGACCTCAGGTCAAGGTCATGACCTGACCGGAAAGGGTCATGTTGCATATCAGTCGATCCGTATCGTCGAGCTGAACACATATAAGGCGTTTTCATCGCTCTAGCATGTCTCTATCAAAAGTTATTTGCGAAAAACTGTTAGATACCATTCGTGACCTAAGATGACCTCAGGGCACAAACAAGGGTCACGGACACCATTTTCATGTTCAGTGTGTCTAAACCACTTTTAATTCGGTGTTTGGGAGTGTTTATAATGTCCTTCGTCCAAAAGAGGCGCATTTCAATTTTCTCCCATTGACTTATAATGGGGAGGTCGCAAAATTGACCTGACCTTAGGTCATCGATATCAAAATTCTGAGATATACATTTTGTACATGCTATTGCTCTTAGCAATCGCTGAAAGTTTCAAAGCGATCGGTCACTCGGTGTAGCTATGACAGATATTGAAACTTTTTATGAGGTGAGGTCACTTCAAGTGACCTGGTGACCTGACCTTGAATGACCTTGGTCTGAAATTTTCACAACATGTGTAGAATTGATGTATGATAAGGTGTACCAAAAACGGCGGCGCTCCGCGCCGCCGTTTTTGAGATATTCGCGAAAAACCACAAGGGGGGGTGTTCAAACACCACCCCCCCCCCCCCAGCAGGGCGCGGGTTAAGCAAGAGCGCTGAATTAGGGTGTCACTAAGTGTCCTTGTACCTTTTGTTTAGTGCTGCTACGTGTTGAATGAGGAATGTCTCCATCGCTTTAGATCATGACACCTTGGTGGCGTTAATGGGCGTTGGTCGATGACGTTCGCACGTGTGATTGTGGTCGTCCTCGTGCCGGTAGTTCAGAGATGACACGGTCACGCTTGTTGATGGGCCTCGTCTGTGGCCGGCCTGACATATATCGGAGTGCTGCATTTTGTGGACTCACTTCGCTCGATACCTACACGTGTATTGTGTCATGCTATTTTATTGAAAATAAACCTTATCAGCGAAGTTTCATCAATTTTTTTTAATAGCATTCCATATCACAATTAGGAAAAAGTGACAGTGGGATTGGATATCAATTTTTTTTAATGGTTACTTCAGAACATTTATTTTTGTCTTCTTTGTTTACTTCAGTGTAGATAAATGTGGGGTTAAGATGCTTTGATCGTCCCAGTGATTCTTTCGAGAATAAAACGAAAGCGACACGTAACATTGGCCCTTTGAACTAGCACTCGTAAGCAAAACTCCGCTCACGTGCGCGCTCCTCTCGTCTTCATTGGCAGCCATCGATTCCCTTGAACGCACGGCTGCCCCCATTGGTGCTTCAGTCTTTGATAGCTCCTCCGTTCTCTTAGGTATACATCTCGAAACAACATGATTTGGTCATGAAAATGTCATTTTCACAATACGCAGGAATATCACTCCTATAGTTGTGGGTGCATGTATGTACATACATAGTCTGTACTCTGCAGGTAGATTTGGCAGCGTGCTGGGTATCTGTGGAATTCAATGATAAGCCTGATGGCTCTGGTTCTGGCTCCCTACGTTATAAGTTGATCCAAAAGAGCACAAGATCGAGGGATCAGCCCGTCGCTCTCGTAAGTTAGCTTGCTGTTGAGCTAGCTCGTCGCTCACAATTCAAGACCAAGTTATGGCCTTACTCAGATCTAAGTAGGAGCTGCACCTAAGAGCAACGTTGCATTGTGCATGTGTGCAATAAGTAGAACTGTCACCGCTGCAACTATCTGCAGAAGCAGTGAGTGCATGGTGCAACTGGTGCTGGCGGCGCGCAACTTCACTTCGCCTGGCCGGCTGGCGGCGCGCCTGGCTAGGTAGGCAGGCCCGCGGAACACGCCTGCCTTGCGGGTCAGCCTACCACTGCAGTGGCTGGCTGAGCGGCCGCAAACCGAGGTTTTCAGTTCAGTTGCCAGCCAATCTACAATCTTTGTAACGGGTCGTGGGCCTAACAAGTCACAGAAAGTCTATTCCGCTATTTCATGTCCTTCGAGATGTCATTTGCTGTGCTGGTGGCTATGTGAGAAAGACGAACTAAAAGGTGTAGAGTACGAGCTTGCAGACCCGAGTACCTAAAACGCGGGGCTGCTCGCGCCGCTTTCAAAGCAGCTTGCGAAAGCTGGCGAGCATGCAGATCATGCTTAGCTCTTGAAAAGGAAGTGCATACAAATAAGCAAATGGTCTAAGAAAGGTTACAGTAATCGAGTATTTGTAAGTCAGAGCAGATTCACCTAAAACACAAAACACAACGGTTTATTATTACTTTAATCTAACTTCACGTTTTTGCTTTGACGGAGTGCAAACAGTGAAAACGTAGTCAAAAAAGTATTATGATATATTTCGACTTGCGTCGTCTTCAGAATGTACATTTTCAGAATTGTCGACGAGCAAATTCAAATCCTTTCAGAATAGCGTGCAACATTTTTGTGAGATCTCTGGCTAACAAATTACAGTCAGGTCATACCTATAATAAATTTTAACAGCGTACAATACAATGAATACAATATCACTGAATAATAATTGGATAAATATTGTCAATGCTACACAATACCTAAAAGTAACACAGGCATATGTTATTTGTGCAGCACGCCAAACTCGCGAAAATGCATGACCTATGCAGAGTGATTGACAGGATAAGATGCATTCATACACTTAATTACACATGTTTCAGGTGCGTACAACTAATACATACACACAGCAGACTGCAGAGTAAACATGACACCAGTGTAGAGCTCGCTGAGGTGGTGTACGAGTGGGGGGGGGGACGCTGTCAACTGCGTCTACCCTAAATCAAATTAGTACAAATGACGATGAAAGACGCACCTAACAAGTACAAGTACTTCAGGTGAGACAAATAAAAAGAATGGATAAGCCAATAGAGACATGCTGACAAAAAAGAGGACGGAAGGCCAAGCATAGAACATTGCCTATGTGGGAGTGTAGGGAGGGGGATGGAGAAGGGGCCAGGATGAGGTTTGTGTGTTTAGGCATGGTTTTTGGTTTCTTATTTCAACAGATTCTGCTATTTTCAGATCAGCCACATCTTTACATACTCTCTCTATGCTAATTTTGAATGAGGATGACGATATACTACATGATGGGTGGTTGAGGTTGACATGGTCTCCGAGAGGGGTGTTTTTGGTCTTGTTTTTAGCATCCCGTAGATGCTCATTAAATCTTTCGCGGACTCTCCTTTTTGATTCACCTATGTACACAGCGGGTTTCTCATCACACAGGTTACATGTGATTTTATATACAACATTTTTGGTATGACAGCGGCTACGAAGGCCTGCTTCACAGGTGTGACATCTCTTTGATCCAGCAGGGCACGGAGGACTTTCGAGACCTGACCGTATCATATGCTTGGACACCGTTTTCCCGCTGACCCATGCGACCTGTGCCTTCAGACCAGACGAGCGCACTGCACCGTTCACTCGGCGCGCTAGTGTTTCGTCAATGTACGGGAGCGATATGTAGGTCGTGTCATTTTTGTTGCGTCCAGTGGTGTTGTGTTTGTGACCTTTCTGTGTGTGGTGCATGATCTTGTGCTTAGTTCTCTGTATGAGTTTGTTGGGGTATCCGTTGTGTCTGAAAAGTGTCTCTACGACCTTCATTCCTCGCTCTTTTGCCTGTCTGTCTGAACCTAGCCGTTTAGCCCGCAAGAGTTGTGAGTGGAGTACTGATCGTTTGCATTGCATTGGGTGTGCTGATGTGTAGTGAATGATGATAGGTGCAGCCATAGGTTTGATGTACAACTCTGTGCTGTAGGTGCCGTCTTCTTGTACTGTGATGATGGTGTCTAGATAGGGTATGCTTCTATTTGGTGTTCTGTCAGTTCTTTCGATAGTGAATTTCAGCGCTGGGTGGAAGTCGTTCGTAAACTGGAAATACTCGTCAAGCTTGTCTGCCCCATGGGTCCAAATGCCTAGCACATCATCGATATAGCGCATGTAGGTCACTGGCTGGTACTGAGAATTTTGAGAAGTCAGGATCAGGGATTCTACAGCATTCATGAACACTATGGCTAGTGGGGGAGCAATCCTAGAGCCCATCGCTACTCCTACTGTCTGTTTGAAGAACTTTTGACCGAACCGAACTGTAATTTGTTAGCCAGAGATCTCACAAAAATGTTGCACGCTATTCTGAAAGGATTTGAATTTGCTCGTCGACAATTCTGAAAATGTACATTCTGAAGACGACGCAAGTCGAAATATATCATAATACTTTTTGGACTTATTTTAATATCATTTCATTGTATCATGAGCATAAGGTCATTTTCTACCATCATAATATTCATAATTATGCTCAAACTAGCCATAGCTCACCTCCAACGAATCGAACAAGACTTTGACCGACGAGAAGCTTTGGTGCGAATCGTGATCAACGCGGATAAAACGGCAAAAACCGACGAACGAATTCAATTCCTCATCCGATGCAAGCGTGCAGGCTTATGTCCGAAGTTTATCACGCAAAGTGTACGCAATATCTCATACGTCTACAAAAACAGTCAATTGGTAGAAAAACGTCGAGAGGTCTTTTGTAAACAACTGCTAAACGAATCGATAAAGGACGCGTTCAGAACACAAGCCTTCAGACGCCGTGAAGGTAAACGTCTATATCGTGAGGTAGTTGACCACCAACACTGTGACTTGGCACTGCACTTCGCTACTCGTGTGTATGAAGACACCGCCCGAGGGACAGCTAACACACACGGGAAGAAGTTCTTCGCCCTGCTCAATGAACGCTACCCTTCCGAAGCTGCTGAGAAAAGAAACGATGCTACACCAGACAGTGATGATACTGGACTTGCTGTTCATGGTGTTGAAGCATGTGAAGCACACTGGGCAACAGCGAACGAGACTGGCCCGCTACTACCGGCAGACAACAGCGACCAGAACCATCTTGAACAGGAGCTGTGGCACGATTGCTGCAGTGAAGTTCGCCTCCAGCCCTTCGAACAGCTGACTGACGCCAACGAAGTGCAGGAGACCGTAGGAGCTATGCTGCTGACCAGCCAGGACGCCCACGAGCTGTGGTACGATTGTCACGGAGAAGACATGAGTCAGCTGCTGCACCCAGCTCTAGTCTCCAGCACCGGAGAGGCTTCCATTGCCCGCTCGAGCGCCAGGGCTACCTGTGGGAGTGACACTGGAGGTGAGACTGTTCCTCTGCAGCTCTCTGCAGGTAGCAGCGAGACAGATACTCGAGCCGAGTCAGACTTAGGCATTTCTCAATGTGCGCTGCAGGACAATCTCTCTGACTGCAGTAGTGGGGATACCGAGAGCTGCGAAATGTGGCATGATTGCTTGTCAGATCCTATTATTAACGGTTTTGACCTGATTAATGACGAGGTGATTAAGTTTGGGTTCAATGTGGAGGGACCTGATGACGACGGTGACATGTGGTATGATTGTTTAGTGGAACATGATCTCATTGTATTGACTAATGGTGAAACACAGAGCCAAGCCAGATCAATCCTGAATCCCGGTCCTTCCCCTCCTTATACGAGTCATGATCCGTTTGAAAATCGTAAAAGGTTTGAGAACATGACTGATAGGGTCCTCTCTGATCAGCTAACAGATTTATTGAGTAAGGGTCCCAACTTTGCTCTTTCCCGATCAGTCAACAAAACCGTCCTAAAAGAGGTTGAAATCGGCCTGGAGAGGGGTGCTTTCGCCTTACGGTGGAAGGAGCACATTGACAAAAAGACACAAGAGAACCAATCTCCGTCAGGCTGCTCCGACCCTCAAAGCTCGATAATACCATCCAGCACGAGCCAGCCCGTGACACATGACCCTGACCCTGACACCGATCCTGACCAGGGGGCGCACCGTAGCGTCAGGCTGACACCTAGATTCAGTGACACAGATACACGCGCTGCACCCACCGCCCATGCTCTGACAGAACGAACGCTGAAAACTCTAAAACACAAAGTCATGACCATTTACAAAAACCACAGATCGACAACGGAACCCAACCATACACCTAACGATGTAAAA